GGACACAATGTGATCAGAAAAGCTCACTTGAGCCTTCGGCTCAGGTGAGCTAACAATCAGAAAGTTTTAAATTAAATTCATTTACAGTATGCTTTGAAGCTGAAAATTCCAAGGAATTGGAAATGGAAAGTAACTATACACAGATATCAAAAGGCAATATTAGTTAGCTCTTTGGACAACTCAATCTCGTTTTCTCAGCATTAACAATATTTATTTAATAGGTCTTTTGAGCCAAATGCTCAGAGCTAATGCTATGGCCATTTGTGTGGTGTGCATAAACTTTACCAATCATTGTCAAATTTGTAACAAGGTCCAAGGGCTACCATTTATACTAAATTTAGGGTTGGGACCCTTAAACAAGGGGAGATAATCAGGAAAATGAAACAAGACGTACTGGTTGCTAAGAAATCTTCTTCTCCAGAACCACCAGGCAGATTTTCACCAAACTTACATACAAGAGTCAGGATATGTTGAAGATTTAAATTTGCACGGGGAATTGCCCTGGGGCAAAGGGCGTGGTCTCAAAATCACTTCAAAGTTGACCAAAATTTTCACTTAATAAAAATATTTTGCTTACTATAATGACTAGGATCAGCAAATCTTGCAAGTTGATGCATCATAGGACTTAACATCATGTTAACTCAAAAGTTGGTCACGGTGACCTACTTTTTAATTTTGAATGTGTTGAATACTTTCAGACCTATGATCATCAAACTTTGTCAGTTGATGCATCTTTGGTCTTTGGAAAACTTCGACCAAAATGTAGGTCACGGTGACTTACTTTTGACATTTTATGGCTATATTTAAGTATCTAAGGTTCTTATTGACTTAGAATCATCAACCTTTGTCAGTTGAGGCATCTTGGGTTTTCAGAGATTGTCGACAGAAAAGTAGGTCACGGTGACCTACTTTTGACATTTTATGGCTATATTTAAGTATCTCAGATACTTATTGACTTAGAATCATCAAAATTTGTCAGTTGAAGCATCTTGGGTTTTCGGAGATTGTCGACAGAAAAGTAAGTCACGGTGACCTACTTTTGAATAACTCATGTACTTATTGGCTTAGAATCGTCAAACTTTGTCACTTTAGGCTACTTGGGTTTTCGATAAACGTCAACCAAAAAGTAGGTCACTGTGACCTACTTTTGACATTTTATGGCTATATTTATTTATCTCGAGTATTTATAGATTCATCAAACTTTGTTATTGGTGCATCTTGGGTTTTTGGAGAATGTCGATCAAAAAGTAGGTCACGGCGAGCTATCTCAAGTACGTATTGATTTAGAATCATCAGTCTTTGTCAATTAATGCATCTTGAGGCCTCAGAAGATTTCAATCAAAAAGGAGGTCACCGTGACCTACTTATGGTATTTTTTAGTTATATTATAATATCTTCTGTCTTAACCGGCTAAATATTTATCAAACTTTGTCAGTTGTTGCAATTTGGGTCTTATGATACTTAGAGCTGGAGGCTTCAAATAGAAGTGATATAGTGTACAATTAATTAGAAGAGAGATTCAAGGCCCTTGGCCTTTTGTTTTTTCATATGTTTTATTTATGTAGATACAACCTTTCAGAGAAGCTCATGTTAACAGAGATAAGGACAGAGAACTGTTAAAACTTTCGAAATACCTTAAGGATATATCAGCTTTGGATGATTTCACAAGTCTTAATCACCGCCACTGGGAAAGGTAATTATGTAGAACATCAGGTTTGTAACTCTTCCTGGAATAAGGTAACTATATATATATGGGGAATCGAATCTCAGACCTCTGACAAGCGAGACAAGTGCTATACAAATAAAGCTACTAGCCCAACATTGTAGAAACCTATTCATCACACACTACATCATTAATTAAGCTGTAGTTTTCATGGCTAATAAGATATTTTTTATAAGAAGTTATGTGTAGAGTGGAGTCTTGTTACAAGGATATGTTATTTTGTCAAGGTAAAATTATCGTAAATACCAAGGGCAACAAAATAAAAGTATTTAATAAAATTTATTTAAAAACATTGTTTTGGAAACTTTTGTTATCCATAGATACGGGGGTTATGTATTTTTTCTGCAATAGCTGCGACATTAATTTCCATACTAAGAACGAAAGAAAGCATTTTATTATTGAATTGAAGCTGTTCAAAAAGAGGTTGTGAAGAAATGAAACTTTTTCAATTTTTGCTTAACATCTTTATCAAGGAGTTGACGGGCTGGTCCCTTCATGTTTCCTTTGCATTTAACTCGGAAACAAAAAAGATTTTTTGAACTGTTGTTGTATAAAAAATCTTCAAAATCATATATCTGTGAGGTTATATCAAGAAAAAGAGGCATCTGTAAGGTGATATTAAGAAAAAGAGGCTGGCTTCTCAAATTAGGGGCCAAGAGGGACAGAAAGTCTTTAATCAGTAACTCTTTAATGATCAATATTTGGTATACATTACTGAAGCAATATACCGGGTAGTTCATCTTCACACTCTTTAACTGTAAAACATGATGCTTGCATTGTATTTTACACAAATTACCAGTGTTAATACATACACCTTGTGTCAGATTTAACGGGTGTTGCATCTTGACAGATTTTGAAATGAAAACAACGTAGAAGAATACATTGTGCAAATTACTCTTCCCTTTTTGTGATCAAAATTTTCCTAGGTCAAGGACTACAATTAGCTTTGTAATAATATGTGTGTATATGAATGAAAAAAATCCGGGAATAAAATGATAGATCGGATTCCTTTTATTCTTTAGATGCATCTCATAAATATTCCTCAGGCTCGTAATATTTAGACATAGCCAAAAAAAAGTGAATTTCTTTGTGCTTTCTGTATTAATATTTCTTCACTTGGGGCGGTTATATTAGTTTAAGAGTTGTTGTAATTAAATATATATATTCTGTCAAACAAATCTCTCTTTTTAGATACAGACGAAAAAGAAAACATGAAAATACAGAATCAAATGACGAGAATTCTGATTGGAAAGAGAATGACACATGACAGGCAATAAATCACAACAGTTCACGTGATTAAAATATTTCCGAGAGAGGAGAGAAATGGAAACGTTCCGAAGAAATGTATAAAGTTGTGATTTTAATGTCCACTACAGGAAATAAGTTATCGGAGGATAGACAAACACTGTGTTTTGCGCCCTGATGTTAATTGACGGAATGTTCAGCACGTTTTACTCATTAATTGGTTTTTCATTTTGACACGAAATAAAAAAGTCTTCAGAATTTTTTTTTGGATTTTCGTTTACAAGAGAGATTGCTGAGTTTCAAAAATATATTTACATCAGGTCTATCATTTTATTAAGTTTGTTTTGTTTTGTTGTTTATTGTGTTGTTAATTTCCTTTACTTTGTGAAACAAATTGATATCTAGCCACATGGGGTTTGGTAATCACGTAGAAAGGGGAATCGAGATTTCAAAAATAATCTATAACTTTTAGTTATGATAAAAAAAATTCAGTAGTTTGACAGGCCATTGCATATTGTAAAATAATGAATGAAGGGGGTATTATTAATATTTATCCAATTAAATGGACATGCCTTCATTTTTGGGAGTAAAGTGAAGAAAAAAAGTTAATGTCGAGGTCTCTTAAAAAAGCTCAAGACTTACACTTGGCCAGAAAATATTGGAAACAAATTAGCTCTGATTTTGTTTATTCTTATTTTTTATCTCAAAAATTTTAATTTTCGCGGGGGAAAGTTAAGGAAAAAATCTCGAGCAATATCATTAAACTTTTACATGTATGAATAGGAAAGCATCTCAGGTAGTGTTCAAGTTTGTTTTAACGTGTACCAAAGGAGTCCGATGGGGCTGTAACGTTTATTCAGTAAACATCAACATACTATATTGAACATCGAACCCGATCATAATTAAGACATGGTAGATTTAGTTAACACTTATCGTTACATCCCCTTTCTCAAGATTTTTCTTAAAATTATGAATTTACAAACAGAGCATTTTCAAATGTAAATTATACATAAAGCTTAATTTATCAAAGTCCCATAATAGTCTATATTGTCCAGAATTTGAATGTCAGAGTATTAAAAATAATTACTGGCTTGCAATAACATACAAACAAACTAAACTGTTATGCAACTACTTGTAGCAACATAGAAAACAAAATGACTAGATTTCTTTGGAAACCTGAGGTAGACAAGGTATTATTATGACCTTATCACTATCTACCTCTCCTACACAAAACACTCAACATTACACACGAAATCCTGATACTTCTGTGGAGGTTTGATTTCGCGGCCACTCCTTGTATGACGTTTGCCCGATACTTCAGATGTTGGATTTGGTAAAGGACATGTTTTGGCTGGTGTGGTACTCTTGTCAACTATCGGTGTGTTCTGTGCTTGTAATGTACTCTGAACTGGGGTTTCCACTCTGTCCATGTCTCTGTTAGTAGAAACACTAGTCTCCAAATTGTCTTTATTTACATCAGGGAACAAACTGGTGTTTCTGGGTAAGTCTTCCTTAGAAAACGGTTCCCTGCTAAGTCGTAGATGTTTTCGATTTCTCCTACATACGCGTCCATCTTCTGTACGAACTTCATAGGAGCGAATATCCACTTGATCTCTTACTTGTGCTTTTGTCCACGACTTCTCTCTCCCGAATGGACGAATTCGTACAGTGTCTCCCGCATGTAATTACTGCATTTCCTTTGTGCCGCGGTTATAGTAGCTAGCTTCTTTTCCTTTCCTCTTGTACAGCTTCCTGGAGATCCCACTGGAATTATGAGTTTTCAACTGCTTTGAGGAAAGTGTGAGTCTAGTCCTGGTTCTCCTGCCAAACAGTCTTTCTGCAGCTGAAAATCCAATGGTCTCACTTGGTGTATTTCTCCAGTCCAAAAGTGCTAAGAAAGGATCTTTCTGGTCAAGGACACATTTGCGCATTAGGGCCTTAGCAATCTTGACTGCGTTTTCTGCTTTTCCATTTGACTGAGGGTAACGAGGAGATGAAGTCCTGTGCTCGAACTCGTACTTTTCAGCAAAATCCTGAAATTCTCTACTGTTGAATGGTGGCCCATTATCAGATATAATAACATCCGGAATGCCATGACGCGCTATCTGAGCTTTCATCTTTGTAATGACTTCCTTGCCAGTCTTTCCATGTAATCTGTCTATTTCGAAGAAATCTGAGAAATAGTCTGCACATATAAGGTAGTCATTTCCGTCAAACTCAAATAAGTCACAACCAACTTTTTCCCAGGCTCTCTTTGGGATATCATGTGAAATCATTGGTTCCTTTGGCTGGTCAGGCTGACATGAACTACAAATTTCACAACACTGTATATAATTCTCAATGTCATTGTTCATATTGGGCCAATACACTGTCTCTCGTGCCCTTCTTAGGCATCCTTGTATTCCAATATGTGTTTCGTGAACCCTCTCAATAATGTCTCTGCGAACTCTATCAGGAATCACAACTCTCTCCCCTTTGAATACTAGGCCGTCCTGGATGACAAGTTCATCTCTGAATGGGAAGTAACACTGAACTTTATCTGGAAGTTCATCCTTGCAGTCTGGCCATCCCGACTTGATGACATGTTTCAACAACTTCATTGTTTCATCCTCCTCAGACGCTTCTTTTATTTTCATAATCTTTGCTTCGGATATTGATATGTAGCTCCTCTGATCAATATCGAATATGCTTGCTTTCTCCATATCCTCTTCTGATGCTGGTAGATAAGCTCTGCTTAGCGTATCGGCTACATACATCTCTGCACCTTTCTTATAGACTATCTCGTAATCAAACTTCTGGAGTCGCAATAGCATCCTCTGAAGTCTCCTAGGTGCCATCACAAGACTCTTCCTTTGGATGATTTCAAGCGGCTTATGATCTGACTCTATCTTGACGTGACGACCATACGTGTAATTCTCAAAACGCTCGAGTCCAAAAACTACGGCCAGCAATTCTTTCTCAATTTGCGCATAATTGCACTCTGTCTGGGTCAATGCTCTCGAAGCATACACAACCAGATGTCCATCCTGCATCAAACAAGCCCCTAATCCATTCTGCGATGCATCACACTGTAGTATTGTCTCTTTATTTGGATCAAAGAAACTCAAGACCGGTGCTTCTGACAAAATCTTCTTAATAGTGCTGAAGGCATTTCCATGGACTTGCTCATCCCAATGAAAATAAGTGTCACTTTTCAACAAGTCCCAAAGCGTAGAAGTAACTTCTGAAAGATTGGGTACAAATCTCTGCACAAAATTGACCATTCCTAACAAACGCTGTACTGCTTGTCTGTCTGTAGGAGTAGGCATCTCTCTTATTGCTTGTACTTTACTTGGATCAGCACTCAGTCCCTGCTTTGAAATAACATGCCCAAGGTAAGACACTGATGTAAGTCCTAATTTCAGTTTGTCAAGGTTCAGTTTAATGTTCTTCTGCTTACATCGGTCCATCAACTCAATAAGCTTTCGATTATGGTCTCTAATCGCCTCTTCATCTGTGTTTCCGCAACCGTAGACAAGTATGTCATCGTGAATTGCTTTGGTTCCATTCAAACCCTCAAGAGCTTCATCCATCCTCCTCTGAAATTCTTCAGGTGCTGGTGCTATGCCAAAAGGCATCCTCAACCAACGGTAACGTCCCCAGGGTGTTCCAAATGTTGTTAGGAAACTACTGGTTTTGTCGAGCAGGACATGCCAAAATCCGTCCTTCGCGTCCACCACTGAGAAAATCCTGGCCTTTGTCAAATCTGGTAGGATGTCTTCTATGGTTGGAGTGGGGTAATGATTCCTCTGAAGTGCTACATTTAGGGGTTTCGGATCAATACAAAGTCTAATTGCCCCATTTGACTTCCTCACTACAACCATGGATGATATCCAGTCAGTTGGAGTTGTTACTGGAGAGATAACTCCTAGATTCTGTAGCCGATCAAGTTCTTTCTTTAGATCCGACTTGAGCGATAGTGGCACTTTCCTGGTAGGTATCTTTGTTGGCTGCACAGTAGTGTCAATCCTGAGGTGTAACTCTCCTTCAAGTTTTCCAAGTCCATCAAATAATGTTGGATACTGTTGTTTCAAATGTTCTTTGGTAAGAGGCTCTGTAGTGTCACTACACTTTCCACCAATCTGTGCAACAAAGTTCTGCTCATTCACAGTGATAAGTTTCATCGATTGTATCGCCGATACTCCAAGAATAGGGTTAAGTTCTGTTCCTGACACTATCACAAATTCAACGTTGTACTTTTTTCTGTTTCTAGGATTGCGAACAGTCAGCCTTCTTTTCCCCAATGGCTTCGTCTCACTCTTGTTGTACATCACTAATGTCATATTAGTTTCTGTCAGGTTCTCGTGGTCATTACACAGCTTCTTGTACAATGTCTCAGGTAGAATATTCACACTAGATCCACAATCCAACTGAAAATGTACGGTTTGGTCATTGATAAGCATCTGAGCTGTAATCTTCTTTTTCTTGTTGACATTGTGTACTTCTTCGACAGTGAGAACATATTCACATTCACTGGATGATGAATAGTCATTCACATCATGTACCGATTTCTTTGAATGTGGCCTTCTGCCAGGTCGGAACTTTTTCTGCTGCTTAGTGTTCCCTTGTTTACACACACGAGCAAAGTGATTCTTGCGTCCGCATGAAGAACACTCTTTGCCATAAGCCGGACAATCTGCTTTATCCTTACGGTGTCGTAAACCACAGTACTCACAGCTTACTTCTTGTTTGTCTCTAGGACCCTTCTTCTGTTTGTCTGACACTGGTTTAGTTTTCTTCACAAACTGCACTTCCTCTATCTCTTGAAGTTGTGAACTTCTCACTAGCTCTACAAATGTCAACACAACATTGTATGTCTATGCCTTTCTCATGTAACAGTTTCTTTCTTGTGTGATTGTCCCTAATCCCGAGTACGATCCTATCTCGAATCATTTCTTCTTGTAAAACACCGAATCTACAGGTTTTCACAAGTGTGCGTAATGAAGCAACATAACTGTCAATAGTTTCATTTAACTCTTGTTCTCTTTTGTTGAACGTGTATCGTTCGTATATCACATTCGTCTGACCTATGCAGAAGTCTTCTAGTACTTGTAGTACTTTGATGATATCTTTACGATCTTCATCGTTGTTGAACTTGAGGCCATCGTAATCAGATAATGCTTCTGCACCTAAGCATGTTAATAAAGTTGCTACACGCAATTCATTATTCTTATCTTTCAGTCCGGTTGCAATTTCATAGTTCTCCCATACCCGTTTAAAATGGCGCCAATTCGTAGCCAAGTTGCCTCGAATGTCCAATTTCGCTGGAAACGGTATATTTGTCGGGACATACACTCTCTGCGGTGCCGCTGCAACACCATCTGCCTGATTTTCACCATCTCCGTTACTCATGCCGAATAGGAGGGATAGCATTCACCAAAATCAATGGTGCACGTGTACTTCTGACACCATGTAACGTTTATTCAGTAAACATCAACATACTATATTGAACATCGAACCCGATCATAATTAAGACATGGTAGATTTAGTTAACACTTATCGTTACAGGGGCCACAATTGGAATTCAAAGTTTTAGCTCACCTCGACAAAGTTGAGATGAGCTATGTTACAACGCGAAATGTAATACATGTAACAACGCAAAATGTAATCAATAGGGTTAATTAAGAAATAAGGTATTTCAAAACATCGGGATGTAAATACGGATTGGTCATGTGATCTAATTATATAGGGCTTTTTGGTAGATTTGATCAAATGCGAACTCTTATTACATCCCGATAAAAGTTTTCAAATGATACCTTATTACTACATATAGCTCACCTGAGCTGAAGGCTCAAGTGAGCTTTCCTGATCAAAATTTGTCCGTTGTTGTCGTTGTCGTTGTAAACTTTTCACATTTTCATCTTCTCAAGAGCCACTGGGCCAATTTCAACCAAACTAGCTACAAAGTATCCTTGGGTGAAGAGGAAATGAAGGCTATGCCCTCTTCCAAGGGGAGATAATTATGAATTAGTGAAAAGGAATGGCATCTTTTAAAAATCTTCTCAAGAACCACTGGACCAGGAAAGATGAAACTCATCAGGAAGTATCCTCAGGTAGTGTAGATTCAATTTTGATCATATCTTGACCCCCGGGGGTAGGACAGGGACGGAAGAGGGGGTCGAAGTTTTACACGGGGGAAAAAAGAATGTCTTTAAAAATCTTCTTCTTTAGAACAGCAAAGCCATGAAAAGTCATAATATAACCGAAATATCAGGTTGTATAAATTCAAGATTGTTCCAATCATGACCCCTGGGGGCAGGGCAGGGTCACAACAGGGGGTTAAAGTTTACGAAGTTTGATATAGGTGTAATGGTGAAGGGGTTTGAGTAAAACGCATAGAAGACCTCAAATAATGGAATGATTTGACAACCCTTGAAATGGATTAGCCAAACTAAAAGGTATATAAGACAAATCTTCAGGAAAGTCAAGCTGTCTGAAGAAGTCGGATGCTGAAACAGCAACAAAGAAGTTAAGGTATTCCATCCCTAATAGCACCAGATTCAATAAAATTGAATACGTAAAAGATGTTTATTTAAACATAATTCCCGTTTATTATTATTAGCATGTAAGGGTTGGGTGTGTATTGATTTATGACCTTGAATTCTGTTAAGTATTATCTCCCTCTTGTTTTTAATTAATAAAAAAATCCATTTTAAAAACTTAATATCTGGTTAAAAAATCGTTGTCACTCTATTTCTAATGTTTTAATGCATCTTTCCCCTACAGTATTTATTGATATTCCTATTATTTGATTTTTTATTTTAAAATATTGCTTGTCCCCATGGACTTTAATGCAATCTTTGTTAATTAATTGCTGCTTAGTTAATTCTATTTTTGAAACTTTCTCTTGGTAAATTCTTTTCTAGTATGAATTGCTTGTACATAGGAATGATCTTTATAATCTTTTTCTCAAGAACAACTTAGCCATTATTAGTCATAACCTTATGCATTGTAGATCAAGTTTGTTCATATCATGGGGGGCACATCAAAGGGTCAGTTAAGTTTAACATAAGAATATATATAGGCATCATCTTGAAAAAAAATCGTTTGCTCAAGAAGAGCACAGCCATGATTAGTCATATTATTATAGAAACTTCCTCAGGTAGTGTAAATTCAATTTTGTTTAAATTTAGGGTGGGTTGGCTGGGGCTACAATGAGAGATCAGAGTTTTACACGAGAAAACATAAGATTGATAGGTTTTATGTCGTTTTACATCCCTTTCGAGAATTTTCATTCAGAGAGAGACTTCACCATATCCCGTGAAGGGCTTCAAATTAAGACCTTTACTCGGCACTCAGGGCCATTGAGCAGTGAGGGATCTTTATCGTGTCTAAGCCTGTTGTGACATGGGGCCTTAGTTATTAAGGTCTCATCCGAAGGACCTGTAACCTTCACTTCATAGTGTCAAGCGGTTGGCGAAGGAACAGTTGCTCCCTATTTTTTTTTTATCAACTTTGGTCAGTCGCCGCCGGGCCTTTAACCCACGATCTTCTGATCATGGAGCGAGAGCTCTACAGAATGAGCTACTGTGACGGTGGAAAACATAGTTGGAAAATCTTTAAAATTCGTCAATTTAAGAACAGCAAAGTCATGATTAGTAATATTGATATGGAAGCATCCTGAGGTAGTGTAAATTAAAGTTGCCCGTCCCCTACCCCATTCAATATTGCACTGATTTCTGCTTCTTCCTAGCCAATGAGCTCAGATAAGCGATGTGGCCCATGGGCCTCTTGTATTTACATTTGTGACCGATTTTACTAATAGTAAGGTACTATAATTTAAAAACCCATAAAATGATGTATTTTTTTTTAACCTCAACGATATAAATTGAATGCGTTGAACATGTTGATCACTTTTGACTTCACTATAAAATTACGTAGATCGTTTAATGGTCACATGACGAACTTGTTTTACACAGGTGTAAATACGCCTTGCTCGAATAGTGCTGTATAAGGCAACGTATTTGCAAATGTAAGTATTACGTTTCTGTGTTATTACCGTTGGCACCCCAGTTTAAGTTTTAGAAGCAGTCCATTCTCAAGTAACTATAAGCCCTACCTGGACCAAACTTACAAGGATGATACTTCTAGGGATAAGCACAAGCAAAACTTGCTTCAAATGCTGGAATTGGCCTACATTTTGCAGATGAATGACCAGCTTGAAGTTTTAGGTGCAGGTCCAATTCAGTGTAACTGTAAGCTCTACCAGGACAAAACTTACATGGATGATGCATCTAGGGATGAACATTACCAGACCTGCTTCGGATGCTGGATCTTTTCCCAAGTAACTATAAACCCCACATAAACCAAGGTAGGGAATTTGTAACCCATTTCTCGGATGGAACAATTGCAATCATAAGTCTGAAAAAAAATATTTGGAAAATTGAATACAGTCATCTTGAAATTCTGTGAAAAGAAAATGAAAATAAAAATGGCAATGAAAGCATTTTAACCAAACTATTTAAACTGATTTAGACAATAGACAAATGCAAGTGGTTTCCGGCTTGACGTCATTGGGGTAGTTTGTCAGTTTGTAAAGATTTTGCTGTAATGGTTTTTACAGCGTTTCTTTGCCCTGTGTTTCTTTAATGATATAATTTAATTATGGTTGAATACTTTGCACTGGATATAATGTTTGTCTTAACCCCGTCTTTCTCTTGCAGTCACTAATCAAATTATATAATTATAAAATAAACATTTTAAATTACGATTTGTTCAGACTTATTCAGAAATCTGATTATGGTGACAATGCAAAATTAACTTACGTGACATGAACGATTTTTTTTCCAATCTCAGTGTTTACTTTAATTTGAATAATTCTCCAATCACTTTTAAAAAAAAAAAAATGTTTAATACCCTTGTTTTTTTTTCCTCTCAAATCATAACGATTTTTCTGTGGTTTAAACTGGTTTAATTAAAATTCAAAATTATGTCAGTGACCTTATAAAAACCCTTTAGGTTTCTGTGACAATCGAGTCGTTGACATTTCTTAATCTCTTTAAAAAAGAAAATTATTATAATTTGTCATGATGTCGAATTGAAAAAACATAAACTTATAGATCTGATAAAAGATCCAATGAATTTCCATTATGTTTATTTTAGAAGATCTCATCTTAATTGAAGGAGCTCTGTGCGTGCTGATGGACTATTGATATTAGTTTTTATTACTTTATTATCCTTGGTAAAAAGAATGTGCTTTTTTATAATTGATTCAAAACATTATTTTTTAAGATAAATCGTAATCTTTCCAGTGTACGACAAACTTTAACCGGAACTTAATTAGGTTAAAATCTCTCTCTCTCTCTCTCTCTCTCTCTCTCTCTCTCTCTCTCTCTCTCTCCTACACACACACCCTCCCTGACACGCAACGCACACACGTCCACGGTCACCCTGACTCACAGAAAATCTGATGAAATTATAGAACTAAGAAAAAGACACTATACATGATCGTATAACAGTCAAGACAACTCATAAGATGATGGCAATTCATCATCCGAGATACAGTATGCAACTGAGGGTAGTATGTGAAAGGGAAAAAGAAAATCGACATAAAGAAATTACAATCCGTGTTTCATCCAGCCAATAAAGTCGCAATTTATAGCTTTTATTCATAGATTATATATGTATATCCACTACATTGTTGCCTGTTTGATTGCTATGCCTACGTAATCGAAGATTCGGGAGAATGTGCTTTGCCTTGTCTGACTGTCGGTGTTTGTCTGTCTGCAAAAACTTTGACCTTGCCCATAATTTTGGAGTGGTTGGGGCTTTGGCTTTCACATGTGTATTTCTTGTGACAAAGTACCACGAAATCTGACCCCTTAAACTTTGAGGTGACCCACCTTTACTATAAAATTCCGCATTTTTTAAAACAATAATCATTCTGTAAGGTTTTACCTCCACCCGCCTAAATAAAATCCATCCAAATAAAATAAGTATTATATTCTTATGGCCGATATTGTTTTTAAGATATTGCCCGGTTACTTCATTGAACTCTTGCTGCAAAGGGCAACAGGAGTTGTCACTCCTCAACTTGCTTTACACATCCAGTAGGGGTGGGACGATACACACATCTTGCGATACGATACGTATCTCGATATATTGGCACGATACGATACGTATCTCGATATTATGAGAAATTATAAAACTATTCAAAAGAATTAATATTTTATTTCTTTTTTTTTGTCTTGACATTAAATCAACAAATTATTCTATATCAAATCATGTTTGCTTTGAAATTTATACTTGAAGTTCATCAATTTCATTGACTAAAACTTGACAAAAACAATAATACATGTACATACTATTATTACCAAATTATATTCAGAAGTTGTGTACAAATAGGTGGGTAGTTTATCAGAAAACACTGACTAAAAATTCATTTAAAAAACAGCCATCACATTTACATTTTTATAAATTCATTGCTGAAAGTCTGTAGCCAAGCTGAGATTACAAAAAAGGTACAAGATGGACTAACAAATCAAATGTTCTGGAAACGATATTTTCTGTGTATAGCACGCATTACATACTGAACTTTTCTTGTCCAATCTTCCGACCAATCTTCCGAGGTTGCTTAAAAGTGAAAACGTTTTACCCCTAACCAACGACTTATTAGTTCTAAAGTGTGTTTTCAATATCAACATCATCTCTTCGCTCGTACAAGCCGCCATTCATAGGACACAGACTACCAATTATTTTGCTATACATTCCTTTATACTATAAAAATTGATTAAAAAAATTACACCAGCTTTACCTGAAACTTGGCACAGAGTAAGAAGAATTCAAGTCCAAAAATTTTTCAGACTCTCAGGAAAATTCATCGCATGCAGTTCCTGCTAAGGCATCGCAAATAACCCCTACCCTGCTTTTTTCACTTTCTCTTCGGGAAAAGGGTAAATATGGGCCTCTTTACACCCTCCCTACTACGCGCGCAAGTGCAAAATTTCACATATTAACAATTTTATATTTTTTTTCAAACCCTCTCCTTTCCATCTATACCCAAAAATAACATCAGTCCACCCCATAAACACCCCAAAGAATTTTTAAGAAAAAACCTCTATTTTTAAACTGGAACTACTTGAGTGGTCAATGAAATAGGGGTAAAATAAGTAGTCTGTAACCTAATAAGGACACAAACCTTGTCTGATTTTGCTGAAATTTTACATGCTGGAGTCTTTTGTATCTACAAAGTGGCCGGTGAAGTTTCATTGAAATTGATGATTCCTAAGCAGAGTTATGGCCCTTTAATTGATGTGCTGGAACACCTTAAATCAGAGGGTAAAATAAGCATTAGGCACACAGTTCTCAGATTTGAAATGCTCACAGCTCACATGCATGACAGTTATTTTCTTTCCTTATATTTTTGTATACTAGATATATATGTCCTACACAAATTTCAAGAACAAAACTTAACCTATTGCATAAGTAAATATTTTTAAACAATTTTTCAAAAAAATACCTTCAAAAAGCATAAAATTCTTGGAAATATTAAAAATAAAAATATTTAGCACATTTTAATTTTAGTAAAACAAATATTAAAAAATTCTACAATATATAGGCTATAAAAAATTAGTATAAAAGTTAAGGGAAAGAGATTAATACCTTTGTTATAAGCAGATTATCCAACCTGGTCAATTCAGCCTCTGTCAGGAAGTGGTACTTACTACTCTAATTGGATTATCCCTGGTCATATTAAGACTTCTTTGATGGGTATTTCTTGTAACAATATGCATTATTAGATAATAAATACCAAAAATTCTGTGAAATTTTGGATTTTATAATTCTGAATTTACAAGAAAAGGAATTTATATGTGCATTTTACCTACATACATTCTTCAGGCTGCTGTAGAAAAAGGGGAGGCAACTCTGCACTGTAAAGGTACCAAAAAAAAACAAAATGATTAAAAAGCATGTCTATATACTTTCAATGGTTCAGCATAGAAAATATACCAAAACCTATAATCACTCCTGGAGATGCTTGGAAGCTAAAACAGGGAGGGGGGGGGGGGGGGTAGAGAAGGTTGGATTAAAATGGAGTACATAAATTCTGTCTGTCTTGTGTATCATTATTTCTGCACAGTGTTTATCCAAAATCTTGAAAACACATGTCCTTGTCAAAAAATGATGATTTTGTCTGATATGCGACCACCGACAATGATGTCCAAGATGCCACAAGAGTAGAAGAAGTCAGTAGGACCAAACATCCCGTATGAAATGTTGAGCACCTTACTGACCTCCCCTGTCTTGGACAATCACAGATCAGTGCCAGCAATCAGACAGCAGATATTCAATTCCAAAAGAAGAAGGAAAAAGAGAAAGTTTCAGAGAGTACACATTGATTGGCAAGAGATGATGATGACAGATGAAAACAGTGTAAAAAAGAAATCAAACACAAAAAAATAATACAAACTTAAGAGTCAGTTGACTATATACCTTTAACTTGGCTGTTGTGGACTGTAATATTGTTGACAGCTGTATCTTGTTTTCTGAATGATCATTGCCTCTGCTACTGGTACAAAATTGTTCACTTCTGAAACTGGCCTGATTTTTTATGAAGCCACCCATCCAGGCTTTAACTGCTTGCAATCCCACATCAGTCAGCTAGAAATGAGCCACTGAAAAAAAAAAAAAATAAATTTTTAAGAATTTCAACTTTAGTTCACATTCATAATTAATAAGTAATTGTGTCAAATTAATAAGTAACTGTGTCAACTATAATTACAGACAACAAGTAGCCAAAGTTTTGAGAAATTAGGCATTACTTTCCTATTAACAACAGTGTAATCTGAACAATCAAATGTTTTAAACATACCTTGGTGAACTCCATTTGGCATTTAAAATAGCAGGATAGGTGAGGAATGGGTTTTATGTCACCTACAACATTATATGTAGAATCAAAATTCATATTGCATAAATGTTTGACACACATCAATTGCACACATTACGTCATCCCTCTGACAAGCTGAGCAGGTGCCCCCTCCCCCTTTTCAATTATTTAAATCCATTTAACTTCTCCAAAATGCAAATTTTTCCATAAAATTTGTCAACAATTTGCATAATTAGTTCCAAATTATCCAAAAAGTGCCAGTAAATTGATTAACGTGAGATTTGACCTTTGACCTCATAGGACACAGACTAGGCTATACTATTAAAAAATTGATTAAAAAAATTACACCAGCTACGTACAGGTAGAAATTCAAGTCTTTTTCAGGAAAATTCTGGCAGTTCCTGATCAACATCATCTCTTTCACATATTAACAATTTTATATTTTTTTTCGTACAAAAATAACATCAGCCGCCATTTTTAAACCAAGGACAGGTACTTTCATTTTCAATTTTTGGATAGGTCGTTTGTGTATCGTTTCGTACCGATATTTGAATGCTTGTATCGTAAACCGTATCTTGGAGGAAAATATCGATATATGTATCGCTGTATCGGTATATCGTCCCACCCCTAACATCCAGAATACCTGAACCTACATTATATAAAATTAATTGAATAAAGAGTAAATAAGTGACTATGTATTTTATTGCCATGGTTGAACAAATAAACATTATTCAAATATGATTTGTATATAAAATAAACAGAGTATAGTATTGCATCAGAAATAAAGTCGTCCATATCTTCATAGATATGCCATGCATATTGTACTCTATGAAATGTAATATTGTCCTTGAAATACGAATCTACGAGATAACTTAAACACACGATCCATTTTATTATTCACATTTTGGAGTTTCTCGGATAACCATGTATAGAAATTGGCACAGTCCGCTTTATGTTTAATACACAGAGAATATTGGGTAACAGCATTCAAAGTAGTGTTCGAATGGTCTTCGGATTCTCCGTGTCTATGATAAATCTTCCTCAGAATGCACAGTGTGTCCAAGAGGTGGCGCTCATTCCATTGAAATTCCATTATGACAGAGAAATGTTGGTGTATAATATTCATTTGAAGTCCGATTTCCGTGAGTTCTTCGAAGGATTTAACAATAACAGAGCTCTAAAATAAATTATGTTGATTTCAAGATGGTTTAAGAAATGAATATATAATATATGCCGCTATCCAATTTATAAAGTGAGTAGCTTTTAGATTTACTCCTTATAATTTAATTCTGATTCAATTAGTGTCAGAAAAAAAAATCATTGGCCATAAAAAGGACTTCAAATTAATTTTACAAAATTTAAATGTAACATCAGGTGGATCGATACGTTTTTGGTGACTCAATCTATTACGCTATCATTTTTTTTATCCAATCAAATACCTTAAGAATTATATTATGTACACAAATAAAAGTAATACATGTAATATGGATGTATGAAGCTGAAAGTAAGATAGATAATGGGTATTTACCGATCTACACCTCCTCCCCTCTTTAACCACTACACTAGATCTTTCGGCAGTGCTGTAGGCTGGCATTCTATTAACCTGAAAAAAGGTTTCGTAATATACAGGTTAGGTTTCTTCGCATAACTGTATAAATTTATTTCATGATTCAGTATGTTCGTGTGTGTGCGTGTTCTTTAGTTTAAATGTGACGTCTGTTGGTTTCTCTTCATGCAAACAATGAATAAGAAAATACTTAGCACATATACTTACAGCGAATAATGTTAAATTCTGAATCTGCCAAGACAGTTCACGCAGACTTGCTAAGTAGTTATTCTTTAACTGTACAAAGTCTTCTCTCTCGAGGATTGGAGACACAGTAGTGTTTATGATTTGTTCACCACTACATGGTCTGTAATACTGCACAACATGTCGTTTCCATGGAAGTCGAGTTTTCTTGCAATGTTGGTAATTTGCACATCCGGTCTCGGAAAAGACAGGCAAACACATCAATACACCTGTAAAAAGAGAAAAAAGACGAAAGTTAAATCTTGTACCATGAGTTTGGTCTGCTGTTCAGTAAAAAATAAATACTGCTGCTCACACATCTTCGCTAGCCAAGGGTTTCTGATACGCTCCTCTCCTCATAAACCCTTGGCATACGGTGAAGTTGTTTTCCGTCACGTGATCTCGAATCTATCAGGTATGCACAGATTGCGTCATCGCCAGAAATAAAGACACGTGTTAAGAAAATTAAATCCAAGTTTTTTCAAGAATAATTAAGAAGCAATAATTGAGTTATGTTTATTCATTATTTATAGAACAAATCTGAGGCTTCAATATAGATTCTTAATCACATATTTAGAAGATATTGGATGACACCATGGCTATTCATAGAATTGAATGTTATCTTACGGATCGTTGTTTACTTGCGTGATGTATCCCCGAACGCAAATATCGTCATTTACAAAAAACAATTGCTGATTGGTCGACCTGGGTGTAATGAAATCCAATCAGAACTCTGGAAAAAATCCTGATTTCTATGAACACCGTAGGCCAAGGGTTTATGAGGAGAGTAGCGTATCAGAAACCCTTGGCTAGCGAAGATGCTGCTCACATACAAAAATTAAATAAGATTTCATAGAAATCGATTCATTTCAATAAAACAAATATATAAGTGTCCCAGCAATTTGCTCAAAATGTAACAGCGAGTGTATGTAAAACCACATGTGGAGTGTTTGGTAGGGCTAGAGTCCTGAAAAATAACTACATGTGCAATGTAACAAAACGTGATTATGACTTTTCCACATCTATCACTGCGGTATTACATGTATGTCTCTCTTTGATTCAATACGCAAGATAACAAGTTAGGAATGCGATCAACTTTTAAACCAAGACAAGCTACTGAAAATATGTTGATCTTATACAAGGATTTCGAAATTCGTTTAAAAATAGTTTTTCTAATTCTTCAGTCGATATCAAAATTTTTAATGGAAAAAAAATTATATCGGTGGGTTGTTTTTTGTCTGAGAAGTTTCATACAATTTGTTCTAGGACATTGCTTTCTAATATGTTCCATCTTCCCACAGGAGTTCGCGTACCTATCAATTATACCGAAATTTTCATTAAATAAAAAATACGTAATACGTATAATAATAACACACTTGTATTACGTATCTTCTTTATTTACCGAAAATTTCGGCAAAATTGATAGGTACGCGAACTCCTGTGATCTTCTGAACTAATGCTTGCTACAGATGTTACCGGTTAACAAGGGAATGTCTATTCCAACAAGGCACGACCTCACTTTTGATCTCAATCTCATTTTCCACTATTAATTCCTTTAGTAAAATTGAGACTGAGATCAAAAGTAATCTCATCTAAGTTTTATGGCCTCGGAATCTGATCCCACTTTTGGGATTTCCATGCGGAGTACGTGATTTGCTCTGTCAACAATTCCTTTTGTTTACTGGATTCGCGAGTTTGAACACTGTTCTTTATCTAAACCCTTTTCAAAAATCTTATTGATAAAATAAACACAATGTAACTGAAAATTTCAAACAATGAGCCATATGGATGAAATTTTCGGAAATGAGTCTTCGACAAGTTTAAATAAAATTTGCAAGATATTAATTCTTAAAATATTCTTCTTCGCATTTTATATTTTTAAAAAAATATACATGTATAATGATAAAATTCAAGAAGAGTGAAATGAAACGTTAGAAATTTTCTTGTTTGTTTTAAAAGAACATCCCAGGCATCTTCTCTTAAACTATACGACGAAAGAAAAAAAATAATTTCTTCAAATGCGTCGTAAGTCAACATTTTACATACCTAAAACCAGTTCTCTGGACAACATTTGTAACATGATTTTTTTCTAATGCTTTGAATTGCTGGATATTACCAGGTAATTTATATACACCTGTTATACCGAAAACGTCCAATCAAATTTTTTGCAGATTTTTACTAAATCGAAATATTAAAAAGTGAAAATATATTGTAATATATACTGAAAATTCATATATTTGTTTCGAAGATCTAAATTATCCGTGTCTAAATGAAAATTTGATTGCAATTGGTCATTTGAATTCTATAGCTTTATTCAAATTTAATCCTGGTTGTTTTTATTTCAAGAGTGTCGGGGGCGTTAGATAATCTTCACTTTTTAAATGCCTTTTGTTTTTCTTTCACAACAATTCAAAACCTAATTTCTAAACAAAAGTCTGTCACCCAAAAGACATTTAAATTTAAAAACTATATATAAACTTGGGAAATATAATCTTATGAAAGAATAAAGAGGAATTCCAGAGTTATAAATAAAAATTTAGTTAATTACATGCATAAATAATGATTGGGCTCATTCGCAACTTCTCGGGCCTTTCCGACAAGCAAAGAAACATTTTCGAGCTTGCCGGAAAGACGCGAGACGATATCATTGATCATGGGATGAATTAGCCTTCAAATTCGTGACACTTCGGGCAAAAATTATTCATTTTTTATAGAGGACATGGTGTTCTTTACGATCCCTTTATACCAAAGAAAGTTAATGTTCAACTTCGTGAAGTACAATGTACATGCAACAGGCGCTTGTTTCGTGTACGGGGTACCCCCTTCTTATTTTTACCACAGTAAGGGGGGGGGGGGGGTCCGTATACGAAACATGCAGCCTATTTATGATGACATACTGCATGCATGCAGTCAGCACAATACTTTTTTTTAGCTGAAATAAGAAAATATATGCCAAGGCAGTTAGTGAATATCTTTGTACTTGGGAAGTTGAAGGCTTTTTAAAAACACAAAAATGTATTTAAGTGATGAAAGATCATGGAAAATGAGCTGATACGTCTGTGGTGTAGTGAAATATTGATCGAGATAAGAAACATGCAGTAATCAAGCTCAAAAGTCCATTCTTAAAAACACTGTCTAAAGAATACAAATCAGGAGCGGATCAAATATGTACCTCTAAAACATCAGAGGTTGGATCATGTGTCATTTAGGAGCGAGCATCCCTTTTGGACCAGTCTTACCCTCAATGCGATCTTTGTAATGTTCGGGGGAAAGGGAAAAATCCATAGACAAATCAGTGTGTAAATAATGGAATAATAATAAGTATTCTGAAAAAATTCAGTCACCATAAGGCATTTAATGTAATGATCGACATACGGCATTTGCTGGCAAACTATTTACTCGGATTAAAATAGTATTGTACATGTACCTCGGACGAGACTTTGATAACTTTAGACGAGACTGTTAATATTCTTGTTTTATCAACTTGTTTGACCATAGCTTGCCTCGTTCTAAAAATTGTTTGAAGGTAGGTCCTGCGTTTCGAAATCGCTGAGATCCATAAACCTCATATACATGTACAGGTAATAAAGGTATTTTGCTATATGTACATCAATATTGGGAGTTAACGATAAGATTAAAGCACAAAACATCCTTCAATGACCATATGTGATCTCGCATATTTTAAAAGTATTTTAAATATATGATAAATATAATACTACATACTAAAATCAATATCATATGTCACATCAGCCCTCGAGCACCATATAAGCCCTCGGGCCTCCGGCCCTCGGGCTAATATGACATATGAAATGCCAGGATTAAATCCATTTATTTTAGTATGTAATATTCTCCGACTATATCACTCAGACACTGCTTGTACATGTTCATACAAATTAAACATAATATCATTATTCACAGAAGTAAGTTTCTAAACCATTTCTTTTTTAGGCCAGCAAGCTTCTCCTGTAATAAAATTTTTCTTTCACTCTAAATTTAGCGTAGAAACTTATCCCAAGTAACCGTACGAGTTACTATGACTGCTATCACTAAACCGACGTAATTATGAACGAGTTAATAACTTTTCCAACCAAAACTTCTCGTTGCGAACGAAAAAAAAATTATTTACTTTGTTTTGTAAAATATAATGGCCGGTGAACCCTCTGACCACACTGTGGTGATAAAATGGAGTGGTCAAGAGTACAAATTAAGCGTTGATAAAGATGGCATGGTGGCAGATCTTAAGAAAACAATACAAGATGCAACCGGTGTACTCCCAGAAAGACAGAAACTACTCGGGTTAAAATTCAAAGGCATGTTGTCAACTTCTCTATCTCATGTACATGTGTACTATCTGATGAATTTTTTAAAAATTTCATTTAAGAAAATTTTAGCCCCCCACTGAAACTTTTAAAACATATATTTGATATATACCTGTTGATCTACGTAATCCGAGATTCCTCTGACACTTTCCCCCGCTTTGTATATTGTGACATGTGCAGGGGAGATGTCATGTCACGCACATGTCACAATATAAAAGGCAGGGGTAAGAGTCAGAGAAATCTCGGATTAAGCTTTACTTTGGTAACATAATCATTAAAAATTGACATTTTTTTTTTCTTATTTTAGGGAAACCTCCAGCGGATGATGTCCACTTAACGGATTTGAAGTTAAAACCTACCACCAAAATCATGATGATGGGAAGCAGAGAGGAAGAGCTGGTAAGAGTTATACAGTAAACTTGGCAATAGGTAGGGCTGCCATAATTTTTCGGATCAGGTCAGTTCTTAATTTTGTAGGTTCAATTTCGTTTTGTTTTCGGTTAAGGCTTATAATAGAATAAAAACTCATGATTTGAACTATATTCAACCAGGGCTCTACATTAACTTTTTTCCCTACTTGTCCATTCGGACAAGTGACCAAGATATTTACTTGTCCGAACTTCAACTTCACTTGTCCGAAAAAATTTTCATTGAATATCTTATTCTGTCAACTTGAAAACTATTACATAAATGAAAAAAAATTAAATGTGCTTGATTTATTAGTCTTGTTATTGATAAAAAAGACAAACACATATAAAACAAAATTTTATTTACACAACCTGACCTGACAACAACATAAATGTTTGCAAGTGAACCTGTAATTCAATCAGATTTATTCCAAATCGGCAAACATCGCAAGATCCACGCCATGCAATGTTATGGATGCAATTAGTGAATATCGATCCCGAACAAGTGTAAACTTCAACTTACATAGCGATTGATATCGGGATCGAAATTCGGGTTTATGTACTGCTTCCGTTTGTATTCGATAAACTTATCAATTAAATCAATAGTTGTTTTTTTATTATTATTCAAAGACTTCTTTACATGAAAAATCACTTGTCCAATCGGACAAGTGCCCAGCAATATTCACTTGTCCGTAATTGTTTTTCATTGGTACCGGACAAGCGTTAATGTCGAGCCCTGTCAACAAACATTTATATTATTTTAAAATCTAAGAAATACAATGACTGGTTTAAATAAGTTTCCTAACTAGAAACCAAATGATTCAAATCACATTATTACCTATTTTAATGGTAATATACTAATGGACCTTTCGTTCTAGATGCTATTTTTATGGTTAAACCTACTCTATTGTACAAATTGAACCAAACCGGATTCCGGAAAAACAGCGCCGAACCCGAACCGAATTTATTGTTCTGGGGTTACGGGTCATTTCGGGTACCCGTGACAGCCCTAGTAATAGGGAAGTTCTGGGGGCCTGTTAATTTAAACATGTTAATTGACTATATCCATAATTTGTTATATACCTATAACGAATTGGTATAACTGTAGATATTGAATTCTCAATATGTATGTTTTCCTTCAAGAATTACTAAGTTAATGCATATGTTAGAAAAGCAATTATTAAATAACTAATATGAAGGTTAAAATTATAAATTCAATTTTATATACAAATACTTATTGAAAATAAAGTCAATTCAATGTATCAAATTTTGAGATCTTTGAAAATTCGTAATAAAAGATGTAAATTTCATTACAATAATAATAATATATTTATCCTCAACAGGACTTGAAATCAGTTCACTTACTATATCTGTTATTTGTTAAATCAGAGTTTGTTATAACCATAACGTTTAATTTACAAAGAATTGTTTGCCAGGGATCCCAATAATTTTGCTATATCCCTGAATTCACTATACCGGGGTTATCTGTGTTCGTTACTAAACAAGTTTTACTGCAGAGGAAATCTTCACTAGATCTGGTAAGAGTTATAAAACCTTTACTAGATTTGTTGGGGTTATAAAACTTACACTAGTCACCTGGTAAGAGTTATAGAACTTTCACTAAATCAGTCGAGAGTTATAGAACCTTCACTAGTGATGGTATCGTATTGATACGACTTGTAGAAGCTTCACTAACAATACATTCAATCATCTGAAATTTTCAGTTTTGCATAAATGTTAAATAATTATGGGGTTAGCACATTCTGAAAGGTCATTTCACAGGAAATGATACAAAAGCCTTGTCTTTTTTGGTGCACATCTTATAGCCAAAGTTGAAATCACTAATGAAATCTTTGAGGAAAAAAGGCGAAGCCTTTGTGAAAGTTATGAGGTAGAAAACAGTAGTGTGTTAAGATCAATTGAAGGAACTTCAAAAAGTTATTTGTTTTTAACATATTTTATTGAATGAATCAAAAGGAGTGGAAACAAGTTCTTACAACTTACTTGTTCCTCCCCCTATATAATAACCTTGTGTCAAGCAAATAATACAGTAAAATATGATATTTTCAATTGATATAAGTGAACAACATGTCAATTTAAAATCTATATGTGTCTTCTTAAATGATGAACTTAAAATTTCAGAACACTAGCTATGAATTAAGTAGCAAAGTTTTCATGAGTTATTGGTGAAAAAAGATATTTTTCAGATGTTCAGATGTGTATTTTGAACAAGCAATAGTCAATGTAATGTCAAAATGTTCTTAAACTGTTCTTAAGAAATGTTCTGCAATGTAATTAAACATGTTAAAAAATCAATTGTATGGTTAATACAGTGTCCATTCCAAATCAGTGTTTTTCTGAAATTCTAGCAATTACCGTTTCTGATTAATTTACACAGCAGAAAAGTCTTTTTAAACAAATTTATCCCTTGCCTATATAAATGTAATTACTATGGACTGTTGGTAATATCTCTTGCTATGTTGTAATTGTAATGCATATAAAAAAAATAACATACTGGCCATGCACTTTTCATTGCAAGACTTATATATTAGACAGATGTTAATCAACTTTAAAGCTGCTTTCAAATTACATGCATCTACATCCTTTCAAAAGTGTGACATATTGATAGATTTATACCTGTATGAGCTATAAATTACAAGAATATCATTCATTCTCACTTAAATTTGTGGGTTTTTTTCACCCTCTCAAATTTTTTGTGTGCACTGTCCAAATGGTGCAAAAATCATGTGAATAGAAGAGATTTTTATCACACTTTTTATTTTGTTTGGTATCGAATAAATCCACTCTAAATCTAGCTTAAGCCTACACTGATTTCAAGTCATATGAAAGGGAATGTGACTTTAATCTTGTTAATAAATGTGCATGGAAATTAACAAAACCATTTAGATTAATTTAAATATGCAGTTTAATTTTGATTAATTAAAGAAAATTGTTGTTGTGACTAATGCCAGACTTAGCGATAAAAAAATCTCAAATCAGATTAACCTTTGATAGAGGTATGGAATGCACCATAACACTTCATTGACATATTTATGCAGCAGCTACATGTATAAGGAATTAAAGGCATTTTATGTGTTTAGCTCACCTGAGCTGAAAACTCAAGTGATATACATGTATTCAGACTCCTGTTGTGGGCCATCTACCTGCCTGTAAATTTTTCACATTCCACACAAACATGGGTATCAAAGTTTTATGTGGAAATACAAAGGTAAAACATACTCTATAAAAATCTTATTAAAAAGAACCATTGGGCCAGGAGAAATAAAGCCTGTGTGAATTCAAAGTATTCTGAGGTTTTTTAAAATTCTTCTAAATTGTTTAATTCCTGGGACAACAATAGAAGATCAGATTTTCATATTAAAATCTTTAGGAAAAAGAGCCACTGACCAGAATAGATGAAACTATGTACTGGTTGGAAAAGAATTTCTACTCAAAAACTGCACAACAGGTTAAACATAATCACAAGGAGGCAATTTTTAGCTCACCTGAGCCGAAGGCATCTTCAGATAGTGACTGATTCAAATTTGTTCAAATCATGACCCCCATGGGTAGGGTGGGGCCACAATGGCTGATCAAAGTTTTACATAGGAGTATATAGGGAAAATCTTTGAAAATCTTCTTCTCGAGAACCACTGGGCTAGGAAAGATGAAACTCATATGGAAGCATCCTCAGGTAGTGTAGATTCAAATTAGTTCAAATCATGACCCCCGATGGTAGGGTGGGTCCACAATGGCTGATCAAAGTTTTACATAGGAATATATAGGAAAAATCTTTATAAAAATCGTCTTCTCATGTACTTCAAAGCAATGATTGGTGATAGTATAGGAAGAAAATATTTTTAAAAAATCTTTTTATCAAGAACAGCGAAGTCATATTTAGTAAACTTTTCAATTCTAATCTAATTTGTGTTTTTTCCTAGACGATTTGCTCAGGTGAGTGATGTGGCCCTTGGGCCTCTTGTTTATTTATATGGATTGACTGATTAAATCTGAGAATCTTACAGTGGTGCTGTTACATAATATTTGGAATCACTTTCCAAAAGAGACACTGAAATATTGTACAGGATTATCACCTAAACAAACTTTTTTGGCACTCGAACAGATTATTTGTTTTCAGAGTGGTGCCAAAAAACATGACTCACAAATTGGATATATTTTGTTTTATCTCACCTCTAGCATGTTTTTTTTATTTCTCGATATCAAATAAATCCATGACAGCTCTGAACCTGTAACCAACTTAGATCGACTTTTCAAGTTTTGTTGATGTTATTGTCAACTCACTGTTAAAATCCTGTAAACCAACTTTTATTCGCGACAACTTTATTTCGCGATTTACCAGGGATAAACTAGTTTGTGACGATTAATTTTCGCGATCTAAGCCATCTTGGATCTGTTATTAATAGATGCATACACTTTAAGGACCAGTTCGTGGCGAGAAATATTAGCGATGACGAGACTCTCGCGAACTTCGCAAAAATTTCTCGCACGCGAATAAAAGTTGGTTTACGGTAAGCTAGACATTCACATGGGCTGATTGACTGTGAAATAAGTTATCCAGATTCAATCCAGGGTGTACGGGGATTTGCCTCGTGATTTATTCCGTACACCCTGAGACCAAAGGCTCCTTAATGAAGTTCAGGTGAGCTTATGCTATAACTCAGGGTAAAAGCCTGCGAATTCATGGTAAAATTTTAGGAGCAAGTCCATTCCCAAGTAGCTATATGCCTGCTTGGACCAAACTTGCAAGGATGATGCATCTGAAGGGACGTACAGACTTTCTCAAAATTTAGATCTGACCCACATTTTGCAAATGAAATTCCAGCTTAAACTTTCGAGCAAGTCCATTTTCAAGTAACTGCATGTATAATCTGGCCCTATATATGTATCATACTTGCATGGATGAATCAAGATGATGCATCAAGGGATGAACACTACATGTAGCAGATTTGCTTCAGTTGGTTAATGAGACTTACACAGTCATGTACATTTTCCTGATCATGAAGAGATTTGAGGTTAAAGAGTCCTTGAAGCAAGTCCATTTTCAAGTTACTATAAGCCAATCTTGTATAGATTATGTGTATGTAGAGTTGGCTAATACTATATTTTCTTCTGTTGGCAGATCTAAATTAAATTCTTTGGATGAATGAACAGGCATAAGTTTTGGAAGCACATGCATTCCCTAGCATCTTGAAGCCTAAATTATTGTGAGACAGTGTAGTTTTAGCTTTAAAGATTTTGTATTTTGATTCATGATAAATCTTTCCTGTATTTTATGTACACACAGGATAAAGTGAAGGAAGCTCCAAAGGACCTGCCAGAAGTGGTGAATGATTTTGACATAGAAGAGGAAGAGATAGCTATAGAAAACAGGTATCATATTGTCAATGTCAGTGGTGTTCTTTGCACTAGTCTAGATTATTGTTGAACAAAAAAATATTGAAGAAGACTCATTTGAACCAATTTAGGTTTATTAATATAAACTTTTTTTTTGAGGGGGGGGGTGTCTAGCAGCACAATCTCATCTGAATAGAAATTTCTGGTAAGCAAATGAAAGTAATCAGTCAATTGACTGATTGTATATTGTTTAACATCCCTCTCAAGAATTTTTCACTCATTTGAAGATGCCACCACTTGCTGGTGGAGAGCTACAAATTTTGTCTTAAACTCGGCATCGGGGCCATTGCACAGGTAGGGATATTTATCGTGCTAGCACCTACTGCAACACAGCACCTTGGTTTATACGGTCTCATTTGAAGGACTGGGGCCCGTTTTACAAAAGAACTTACGACTAAGACCAAAAACTTCACATTAATGTAAAATTTTGCAATATTCATAATTCTCTTTGAAATTGTTTGTGTAAAAATAATCTTACCACATTCCTTTTAAAAAGTTTAAAATAATTTTTGATAAAATGTTAATTAAATACGTAGATGAAGAATTAAATTTGGTCTTTAGTCATAAGTCCTTTTGTAAAATGTGCCCCAGGTCTCCACATCCCAGAGTGGGATTCGAACCTGCGACGTAAGGATCAACTCCTTACTTCACAAATTTAGAGCAGACACTCTAACCACTGTGCCATGTGGGCAACATAATAAGGCAATATAAAGCTGAAAGTTAGTTGAGAGTCACAGCTGTGATAGTGCATTTTCCTTGCTAAAAGACTAGTAGATAAATGGTATATATACAAATTGTAATGATGTTACAAATATACAGTTACTGTTGATCATATATCGTATATCACAATGATGTTATTAAGAAGAAGTCTAAATAAAGAAATTCAGAAAATTTAAATAACTATCAACGTGCTAATTCTTGAATGTATTGGCTTTGAATTTGTGTTTGTGTCTGTATATGATATACAAGTGATGATCATTGTTGTTTTAAAAACATGATTTATTCAAAATTTAAATTAATTTTGGAAAATCTTGTTTAATTTAAAATGAATAACTCAATTTTATTTTTGATATTTTTACTTTTCTAGAGAAGAGTACCTTTCCAAAATAGACAGGCGCATCAAAGACTATAAAATCACTGTACTAAATGAACCAAGGCAAGGGAAGAAACTCTTGGTATTGGACATTGATTACACTTTGTTTGGTAAGTTTGATTATTAGATAAACTTGAAAAAATATCCATGTAATATTTAAAATATTCTCAAGACCAGCTTTAAATATTTTTGGTGTAATGGAAAATATCTGGTAGAATAACTTCCTTCATTAATATTGTTTAAAGATGGATTTGTGAAAAAACATTGTCCAAAAATGTTCTATTTTTTTCTTGCAGCAACAATTTTGTGATGATTGGCAAGTCTCATAATACACTAAAGTCTATTTTGGTGTCAATTTTTCATATATCTATATATAATTTTACAAAATGCTACTGTATTGGTTTTAAATTCAGTAAACTTGATACACAAGTAAACTACACTAAGATACATGATTATGTTTACTGGTTGTGATGTAAAAAATGATAAATAAATAATCTTGCCATATGAAGAAATCCAGTAAATTCTTACAAAATAATTAATTCTCCTCCTACGTTTTTGCTTTTTTATATTAAAACATATAAATTTAGAAATATAAAAAGGTTATTTTATAGAATAATAACAAGAGATTGATAATTCTGTTTTGGTTTCTGATTTTGTTGAACAATTTTCCTATTCTGGCTATAATAATGAAGAAAAAAAATTGTGAAATTCATTCAGAAGTCTACCCCTTCTATAATTAAAATTCCAATTCAATCACAATTAAAACACAAAGACTAGCATATAATGCCTATTAACTGTCCCTGTCCCTATAGGTGCCCTCTAGGTCTTTTTCAATTGTCTGTAAATAAGGGCCCCATGTACAGTGATTGAAATCACCTAGAGTCGTATCAAAAGTCCACCATATATTTAAGAAAGTAAAAATGAAAATAGGTTATCAGGTAACTTATACATAAAGTATTCCAGAAAGTGCCAAATCTTTAGAATGACCTAATACTGTATTTCTGAGAGATACAGTGTAGTTACCTAAAAATATGTTTTCCCTGTGTACTCTCTAATTTCTCAGTGGAAAAATGAATCATTTAGCATAATTTGGATGGATTTTCTGAACTTTAAGGAAAGTTGGACAATCTTTCAGGGTTCTCTGAACTTATTATTTTTTTCAAAAGATTTCTTAAAGTTTAAATATGGCATTAAATATTATAATGAGAAAACCACAAATAACCCCCCCCCCCTTTCCACAATTTTCGAAGCGCCCTGGGTGGTTAATAGAGATTATAAGGTAATTCTATTCATATTGACTTTGCCACAGTTCAAGTTTACTTCTTGTAGTTTTGTCAAAGACAGCTTGGTTTTCAGCATGGAAAAGTCAAATGATAATAAAATATATCTTCTAAGAGCAAAATAGCATTAACAAAAAAACTATAATTGGTTGTTTTTTTTTTCATTTAGGACTAAAGCATATATTATTGATAATGGTCGTTAAGTATGTCATGTAATTCTTTTTATTTCCTCTTTTCTAGACCACAGATCAGTGGCTGAAACAGCTAATGAATTAATGAGGCCATACTTACATGAATTTCTGCAGTCGGCTTATGAGGACTATGACATAGTTATATGGTGTAAGTAGTTTATCAAGAAACTACACACTGTAAAATCACTTATTTTTGCAGGGTCAAATTTTTATGGGTTTAGAAAAATAATGGTGGTTCAAGGGGATGTTATTGAGAAAACATATATGAAGATTATAGCAGTATACTGTATACAGGGAAATTTTGTCCCCTTTTTATTTTCGCTCCTTCCGCCATTATCTCTGTCAGCTAAGTAAAAAAGAAGCAAATTTTTAAAAAATGCAGTATAGTCTTAAACAAAATTGTGACTCGGCATATTTAAAACAGATAAATTGTTTGCAAGTGTGAAAGAGCAAATATAAAGTGGGGCAAAAATAACCCTGTATACAGTAAATATCACTTCATAAAAAATTGACGCACCGGTAATATTCATTTTTAGCTCTACTGGTCAGAGACCAGAAGAGCTTATGCGATAGTAATGCGTCCGTCGTCCGTCCGTCTGTCTGTAAACAATTTTTCAAAATGCTACTCCTCCTACAGTTTTGGTCCGATTTCAATATAACTTGGCACACAAGTAGACTACACTAAGATACATAATTCTGTGCATCGGTTTTTGATTTCGATGAACGGTGTTCCCATGGTTACTAAAAATAGAAATTTTATGTACTCCTCCTTTTACACACTTTGCACACAAGTAGACTATACTAAAATACATAATTCTGTGCATCGGTTTTTGATTTCGGTGAACGGTGTTGCCATGGTTACTAAAAATAGAAATTTCTGTGAAATTGTTTCAAAATGCTACTCCTCCTACAGTTTTGGTTCGATTTCAATATAACTTGGCACACAAGTAGACTACACTAAGATACATAATTCTGTGCATCAGTTTTTGATTTCAATAAACGGTGTTGCTGTGGTTGCTAAAAATAGAAATTTTTGTGAAATTGTTTCAAAATGCCACTCCTCGTACAGTTTTAGTTCGATTTTAATATAACTTGGCACACAAGTAGACTACATTAAGATACATAATTCTATGCATCGGTTGTTGAATTCAATGAACGGTGTTGCCATGGTTACTAAGAATAGAAATTTTTGTGAAATTGTTTCAAAATGCTACTCCTCCTACAGTTTTAGTTCGATTTCAATATAACTTGGCACACAAGTAGACTATACTAAGATACATAATTCTGTGCATCGGTTTTTATTTTGAAGAGTGGCAAGGATCATTTTTCTATTTATTGCTGATTTAAAGTCTCAAGTCCCAACTGCTACTTTTCCTTCCTTTGTTTTAACTGCTACTTTTCTCTTCCTTTGCTATAAGTAAAAACTGGTAGAGCTTCAGTCTCGACAGAGACTTCTGGTTAACACAAGGACTGAAATATGATATATATATATATATATATATATATACTGTAAATTCACATATTTTCGTGGGGTCAAATTTTCGAGGTTTCGAGAAAGAAATATTAATTTGATTGGATTTGTTTCCATGGTTGGAGAAGTGTTTAGTAGTAATGCATGTGAAATTTTACATTTCCAGTTGGTCATAATTTCATGGGTCTCTCCATGCATCGAAAACAATGGAAATTAAACCTCACAAAAATTAGTGATATCATGGTACACGATGCATAATAATAAGGGATACACACAATTTAAACATTCACCTTATTAGTCTAAGAAACTGCTTTTCTTGGAATAATATTTGCTAAGGTGAGCCTTGTATTTTATAATTGTCTGTGTTTCAAGTTATGTTCAGGTTGCAAACATTTTTTTTTAAAGCTGCTACAGGGATGAAATGGGTGGAGGTAAAAATGAAGGAACTAGGGGTAACTTCAAACCCCAACTACAAGATATGCTTCATGCTGGATAGTCTTGCCATGATCAGTGTCCATACACCAAAATATGGAGTCATTGAGGTAAAAAGGCTAAATTATACCATAATTACAACTAAATTTATCTCAGTTTGTTTGCAGCATACTGTGAAATCACATATTTTCATGGGGTTCTCATTTTTGGTGTTTTCATGGTATGAAGAGACCCATGAATTCATGTTTCCTTTAAACTTTGAAATTTTCATACTTAACTTTTCTTAGTTGTTCTTTAAGTATGAAATCAAATCCCCTGAACCAGTAATTTTTGTACAAGTCCTAAAACAAATTTAACTCATGAAAACAATTGATTTTACAGTATACAAACATGTATCAATTCAATTTTTGTTGTAAAAATGGACATATTGAGAAGCAATCATTGTATAAATTCAAAAAAAAAATTTTGATTTAAAGGTGAAGGCACTTGGAGTGATTTGGGGCAAATATGAACAATGGAGTGCCAAAAATACAATTATGTTTGATGATATTCGAAGAAACTTTATCATGAATCCCCAAACAGGGCTAAGGGTATGTAATTTAAAATGCTTGTTATGAAATGAAAGTCTGCTTACTCCACCATGTCACCTGATCCCATCTCTAATGGTTTTGAAGGTCCATGTTTGCTCTGTTACTTATTTCTTTTGTCAGTAGATCGGTAGACTCTTGACCTTGGTTATACTTTTGTTTTCTCAAGGTTCTTTAATCAGTAACAGACTTTTTTTCAAAATTCTGCTAGAGCAAGTATATTGCAAAAATTCATTTAAACACCCAATTTTATGTTAACGCCCCCAAAATCTACCTGATTTAAGATCAATAATCTACCGCCTGTCAATCATTAAAAAAACAATAGCTTCTGATTTGATTAACAGGCCAGCTACCCGTGCTACCTGATAGTCTGAGTTTGCGTGTTTCGCGTCAAACACTTTCATGTAGCCGCCTTGTATACACGCGGTGTTTAAAAAAAGAATCTTGGTAAAATTTTATTTCAAAAGCAATTGAGAGTAGATAATTAAAACATGACTTCATAAATATTTGCTTTCAATCTCAACGGCTATATTGTATTTTAGGCGATATGTCGTCCAAGATATCTGCTGTAGAATTTAGACCGGTCCGTGCACAGAAACGCCATTTGCCAATTAAAATTGGAATATGATAAATAAGAAAAGATATTTAGCATAAACGGCATTGATAAAAAATTCCTTTATCCCATATTTTATCTATGTATATAGAAATACAATCTACACCATGTTCTGTTGTAAATGAAATGTCAGAAACATGAGTTTCGAGATTGTAACTTTTAGTTCGAATTTTCTTACGTCTGTCAATACCCAATACATGTATTTGAAATTAAAAAGTGAATATATAAAACCAAATATCAATTCTTAAAAGTATAAAAGAAATCTTGCAAACAATAAAAATTTTTAAACACACGAACACCCGGAAATGGTGAATATTTTCGACACTATTAATGGTCAGAACGTAGGCAATATTAATTCCTATATCGCGGTACATGCATTGTATATGTTCACATGACGGATAGGCCTATGAATGGAATATTTCATTATTTTCTAATTTAGATATTTACACAAGTTTAATTAAAAAAGACCCATACCGAAAAAAGTTATAACTTAGTTATAACTTTTGTAACTAAAAAAAGTTACAAAAAAGTTATAACTAAGTTATCGGAGTTTGGAATGGCATGTTTTAAGTGAGGTATAATTTAGTTATAACTTAGTTACAAAAAAGTTATAACTTTTGCATAACTTTTCACCTTTTATTCAACATAAATACAGCAAGTACATAAAAGTTATAAAAAAGTTATAACTACAAAAAGTTATACTTATTAAAAGTTACACAAAAAGTTATAAAATAGTTACAAAGTTATACTTTAGTTATACCCAAATAAACAGTGGAAAAGTTACAAAAAAGTTATACCCAAAAAAAGTTATGAAAAAGTTACAAAAAAGTTATACCCGGAAAAAGTTATACCCAGGAAAAGTTATAACTAAAAAAAGTTATACCTATTATAAAGTTATGAAAAAGTTACAAAAAAGTTATACCCATTAAAAATTTATAACTAAAAAAAGTTATACCCATTATAAAGTTATGAAAAAGTTACAAAAAAGTTATACCCCAAGAAAGTTATGAAAAAGTTATAGAAAAGTTATACCTAAAAAAAGTTATAACTGCAAAAAGTTATAACTATAAAAAGTTATACCTATTAATAAAAACTTTCGTAAAAGTTCCAGTGAAATTATACACTGTATGTTAACCTGTTGTGGATTTACTCAGTTATAAGCTTTTAAAAAGCTACTCATTAAAATTTAAAAACAAAAAAGATTTTTGAAATTTATACAAAAAAGATTATTTAAAACATATTAAATGCAATAACAATTTTACCTAACAAACACGATAAAGATAGCTTGGTTTATTGTCAAATACAACTAAATGAATGCACATGCAATTGTTTTCAAAATTCAAGTGTACCTTATTTTTCATCATGTCATCTACAACAGATTGAAATTTCTCTGGTTGTTTTAAAGAATACATTTTTAGCTTATAGCAATTAGGGTCTTTGTAAAATTACCTAGCAAACTGCATTCTACTCTTGCTAATTGTATAAACAGACATCACTAATTTTTAAATATTAACACCCTATTTATTTTTGATCTAGCTGTATTTCAAAAAAAAGAAAGGTTCTAAACAGTGATTTCAGTTACAGTTTCTAGCTGCATACCACCCTCCTTGCACAGGTATCCTTGCAGGTGTACAGTTGTTTATCTTTATTATTTGAAGATAGGCACTGAAAGTTGGCTGAGTTAGCTGACAGACTTAGCCATTGTTTGACAGGCCGCACTGGTAGTAGACCAAGTTAGCTGACAGACTTAGCCATTGTTTGACAGGCCGCACTGGTAGTAGACCAAGTTAGTTGAAGGACTTGGCCATCGTTTGACAGGCCGCACTGGTAGTAGACCAAGTTAGCTGACAGACTTAGCCATCATTTGACAGGCCACACTGGTAGTAGGCCAAGTTAGTTGAAGGACTTGGCCATCGTTTGACAGGCCGCACTGGTAGTTGGTCAAGATAGTTGACGGACTTGGCCATCCCTTGACAGTTCGCATCTGTACTTGGTCAAGTTAGTTGACGGACTTAACCGTCCCTTGACAAGCCGCACTGGTAGAAGGCCAAGTTAGTCAACGGTCTTAACCGTCCCTATATTGACAGGCCGTACTGGTAGTAAGCCGAGCTAGTTGACGAACTTGGCCATCTCTTGACATGCGGCACTGGTAGTAGGTTAAGTTAGTTGACGGACTTGACCATCCCTTGAAAAGCCGCTCTGGTAGTAAGCCAATCTAGTTGATGGACTTGGTTGTTCAATGACAGGCCGCACTGGTAATAGGCCAAGTTAGTTGAGGGACTTGACAGGCTGCACTGGTAGTCAGCCGAGCTAGTTGATGGACTTGGTCATCCCTTGACAGGCCGCACTGGGTCAGCCGACCTGGCCGAGGGACTTGGCTGGTGGTCTGCGTCCCTCATTTTAGCTGGTCAGACGTCTTGGCTGGCGGGCAGTGTGACTGGTAGTCGGCTAAGTTTTCGTTGAAATATGCTTGCAATTTTAACCTTTTCTTCAATTCTGCAAAAAATTGTAAAGGTTCAAAATTTAGATTATAGATATTTAGATAGTATATTTCCAGCACTCATTTGCATATCAAATTGAAAACACTCTTCCATATCAATTAATTCAAATTCATTAATTCATCCAAAACATGGAAAATACAAGACTAATTTAAGATCTATAGGAATCAGTTTTAGATTGAAAGATTTATTGAATTTTGAAATGAAAAAAAAAATTACTTTACCTTAAACAAGTAATATTTTGAAGAATTTCATGTACTCCAGGTCAGGACAGATTTAGCTCATGGAAACATCATGTACCAATATTCTGCTTTATAAAAAAAAAAAGAAAATTAATGTTAAATTACTCATTTCATTGCATTAATTAACGTTGCAGCTAGATCATGTTATGATCATGCTGATGCGTATAAGGCTTCACAATATTTTAACAGTTCAGGGAATCTATAAACAATTGTGGGAATAAATATGACAAAGAACAACATATTTGATTAATATACTAAATGCTGAAAAATATTATGCGTTTCAAATACTTTCAATTTGTTTACTTCAGTCTTTGTCATTCGACATACCAATCAAAACAAACAAGAAATCTAAGATTCACACGCCTAGAATTTTGTTCATTCCCAATATTTCTTCTTTTTGGAATGTTATTCCAGAGGTACTAAGTATACTTTACCAAAATCAATAAAATGTTAGCATAAATATCGCCTTACCAACTGGTTTTATCTCCTTTTTTTCTATCAACACTTTCAACATCCAAACATTCAAATCGTCCATGGAAAAATCCGCGCTCTGTTATTGACCAATCATAGAACTCAAAAACGTCACGTGATCGAAAAAAAAATAAATAAATAATTCATAATTAATTTATTTTAAATGCAAATAAACCTAATTGTGTAATTTTAAACTTAAATTAAAAATATAAAGACCAGTTGGTGTTAAAATTTTGAATTTATCTTAGTATCAACAAAACGGACATCGGAGGCCGCCATATTTTTTGTTGCCGCCATTTTGAATTTAATATTTGTTTATTTGTGAAAATAACTATTATAACTGGGTTATTTAATTATGCAAACAATAAAATCTACATGTACTAGTCATCTGCTTAAATCTTAATATAACTGGCAGTCTTTATTCACAACATCGTAATATCTGTTCAACATGAACATGCACATACTCTATGCTGTTGTTTATCTTTTTAGCCACCCATATTACGACTGATTTTCTTCAGATTTCAAACAACCTGTGTAGAATTGTACCATTCAGAGATTGTGTAATACCCAAGCTGAAATATTTACGATGTGTTGGCCACAAAGGTCACCTAGTACAAACACCTGTCTCACAGAAAACAATAGGGAAATTTACACAGTTTTGCACACGAAGAATCCGTGCAAAATTCACATGACTTCATGAGATTACATTTCATACTGTTTATATCTCTTGCAGTACATTTATATTTCCCCAGAATTATGAAATATATTCATTCCCAACTTCAGATGTAAGTGCATTATTATAATTTACAAGACAAATATTATGTCTCATCAGGGTCTCAATAAATACGTATTTTCTAAGAGAGAGAGAGAGAGAGAAGGAGAGAGAAAGAGAGAGAGAAAATAATTATATATCAATTTAAATAGACAATAATATTTATTACACACACATGACATGTACTGTGTACACACCCTCAAACACCACAGAGAGAGAGAGAGAGAGTTTCTCATTTATAGATGTAATTCACAAGATTTTATTTCACATCCCTTCTGTTGAACTTGACATGGCTGTGGACAGCATATTTATTATGAATGAGAAGTCGATCACTGGTAGTAAACAATATTATTGTTCAGGAATTGACAAAGTTTTCTGCTGCAGTGTTTGAAAAAAAAAACCATTTTGAACATGATCAAAATTCATTCAAATTAACACTTAGTTATAAAGTTATTTTTGAAAAAAAAAAAAAAAAGTCGGTGTCAAGTAGTATCCATTAAATAACCCCCAAAACTTGTAAATTTATACTGGTAATGCTTGAAAATGGCTAAGTTCAGAAAAGTTATGTTTTAGTTATACATGAAAATGACAAAGTCCAGAAAAGTTATGTTTTAGTTATACATGAAAATGGCGAAGTCCAAAAAGTTACATTTTAGTTATACATGAAAATGACAAAGTCCAGAAAAGTTATGTTTTAGTTACACGTGAAAATGGCTAAGTCCAAAAAGTTACATTTTAGTTATACATGAAAATGACAAAGTCCAAAAAAGTTACATTTTAGTTATAACTTTTTTGTACCTCACAGGCTAGGTATAACTAAGTTATACTTTAGTTATAACTTAGTTATAACTTTTTTCGGTATGGGGATACTTACTTTGTAGTTTTACTCTGTGTTCTTTTCTTTAATTTTACATTTTTTTTTTAAATATAAAAACGATATTTCTTTATAACTTTTTTTCTTCATTAGATATCGCTGAAAGTATAAATAAATAAATTTTGTATTGAAATATTTCAATTATTTCAAGTAGTTTCACTCAAATTTAGACACGAAACACGGAATGTTGACCCTGATCACCAGACACAGACTTCCTGTGTAATGCTACGTGTATATAGATTTTTGACATCTTGGGTATTGGGGGTCTCCAGGTAATTAACACCACTGTTACTTGGACCACTCCCCCTCCTCAGGTAACTGTACAGTAAAAAAATTGGGTCTTTAATCATATAAAGAACATTGTGTGTGTCTAAAGGTAAATTATATCTGCTTAAACTTCTGGAATACTCCAATTTCATCAAATATTGTTAAAACCAAGAATGCTTTGTTGCCAAAAATACCAAAGAATTTCCATTTGAAAATAACTACACTGAATATGTGTAAATGTGTTAAAGGCAATATAGTTAGCTCATGGGACAACATATTTTTTTATGTATATAAATACTTTTTTGTAGATAAGAGCTTTCAGAGAAGCTCATTTTAACAGAGATAAAGACAGAGAACTCTTAAAGCTTTCCAAATACCTTAAAGATATATCAGCTCTGGATGATTTCACTGTTCTAAATCATCGCCACTGGGAAAGGTATGTATAATATTGTCAGGATTGTGACTATGCCTAGAATCCAATTCTTGCATTGATCTCTGGCAAGTCAGTCAAGCTATGTACTCTACAAATAAAGCCACTAGCCCAACGCTGTAAAAAAAACTATGCATCACACAATACCCAATTAAGTACGTGTAGTTTTCATGGCTAATAAGAACATATTTTTTTTTAATAAGAAGATATGTGTAGAGTCGGGGTTGTTTAAGGATTTATGTTATTTTATCGTTATACCAAGGGCAAAAATATAAAAGTACCTGAGTATCAATAAACTTCATTTAAAAACATTGTTTTGGAAACTTTGGTTATCCATGGGTGAATTTGTTTCTCCCTTTTTATTTTCTTCTTCTGTTTTACCTAATTTACATCTGAATTTTAACACTTAAATATTTATTATGAGAAACATACATATGGATATTATTTTGATAAGCTATATTGAATAAAGGGAGTACAAAATAAGGTTGTAAACAATATGAAACTTTTCAATATTTGCTAAATGTCCCTTTTAAAGAGTTGAAGGTCTTGCCGTTTTGAGTTCTTGTGAAGATGAATTTATCCTAAATTTGAGTAAAGGGAGGTTACCTCTGACTAGAAGTGATTTATTATAAATGGAATTGCCAGAATATATTAATGAAGTTCTGATAGGGACCCATCACAATACATGAAGCAAATTTAAGCCTGTATATTCCTTGTAAATTTTTATTGTATGAAAAAGATTGAAGAGATCAGACAGTGAATGAGTGATATTTTGTGTCACAATTTTAAATGCTACCCTTTGACTGAAATATTTAGGCCTTAGCACTTTTTAAGAGTAGTGGGTACACAAAGTACCTATTAATTATGCTTGATATTTGATTTCTGAGAAAGAGAAGTAAGTTTACCTTGAAGGCATATTGGTAGAATACTTTGATAATTCTTCATTGTCAAAAGAATATTCTTTTATCAAAAAAGCTGTTTAGAAAAATTGCTCACAAACAGAATTACTAGATGTTCTTTAATTTACGAATGTAAGTTAGAAGGATAAAAAACAGAATTTCATCAAATACACATACTAATCATGAATTTATTAGATATCATATCTATCTTTTTAGGTACAGACCCAAAAGAAAACATGAAAATACAGAATCAGTTGAAGAGAAATCTGATGAAAAAGCGAATGACACATGAATGGCAATAAATCACAACAGTCCATGTGATCAAAAATTCTCTGAAAGAGAGGAGAGAAATGAAAATCATTCCGGAGAACTTTATAACGTTGTGGTTAAAATGTCCACTTTTGTCCACAATGGTTATCAGAGGTTGGACAAGCACTGCATTTGCACTCTGATGTTGACAAACTGCTCAGCACGTTCCATCCATAACTGGTGTTTTATTTTGTTACTACTGAGAAGTCTTTGGAACATTTTTGGATTTTTATTGAAAGAGATTTTGTTGAGTTTCAAAAATGTATTGACATCAGGTGTATTATTTTATCAGTATATTGTTTATTCCCAGAATTTTTGCATTGTGTTGGTAACTTCTTTTCCTATATGAAAAAAAATTGATATCCAGCCACATGGGGTTTAATAATCCCGTAGAAAGTGGAATTGAGATATGAAAAGTAACATTAACTGTTAGTTATGAAAAAAATAAAGTGATTTGAAAGGCAAATGCATTTTTTTTTTATTTATGTAAATAATGAATAAAGAGGGTAATATTAATATTTACCCCACCTCTGTCGATTTTTCCGTGAAATCCTGGCTTACGATTGGTTGAAGTCTGTCACGTGAAGGCAGTGGATTACTTATACCCGGTCAGTTGTAAATCTATACCCGGTCGATGTATTACGTCACAAACACAAACGTGACGTCATAATAGGCACAGTATAAGCGTGATGAAGCATTTAGCTGAGAAAATCATTTATAAACCACAGATAAAACGTAAATGTTTCATCGGTGGGGTAAATTCGTTACATAGTCTTTTAGTGACAGGGTTTCGGATGATACCTGGTTAGTGAATTTCATACCTGATGAAATTTACTAACCAGGTATCATCCCATACCCTGTCACTAAAAGACTATGTAACTAATAATAATATTTATTGCATGATCGTGAGGGAAATATGAAGATTTATTCAGGCAAGGAAAATCATATTACCCCAGGGCTTCACCCACTGGCAAAATGATTTTTTTCATGGCTGAAAAAATCATGTTTCCCTAATATTCCTGCAATGCATTGTGTTACTGAAACCTTTTGACACAAGTATCACTTATCAGCAATTTTGTGACGTAAACCAGGCTATTGTGACGTCTACTACTATCGGGAGTTTTCTTTCAACGAATGATAAATATGCGGGGGATGCACCAAGTATCCGAAGAGGTGGAATATAATGAAAAGCATGCCGACGACCGTGAAATATTATAGGATTATTTAACTTATGTCGGTGAATATTGGCACGAGTTGGCTGTACAAATGTACGGGCTTGCGATCTATTGATTATATAGTGAAAATGCATTAATTCTATGAAAATTTATAGTAAAACTACAATGTAGGGGGAAAATTGTCTTGAATACGTTGGCATATTATAGAGGACCTTGGTGACGGAGTTAGGGTACGTTGAACGAAATGACGCTGGCGTGATACATGTTCTATTTAGTGGTGATATAGAAAGTCCTAGTAACTGATTTTTTTTTCTTCAAAATATCACTAAAACAAAGTTTATTACTATGAATAGCAATCATGAAACAAATTGAAATATAATTATTTGAAGAGAAACGCGGAGTGTTCTCCGCTTATGGTGACGGAGTAAGGGTACTCGGGGGTAATACAAACTCAGCATTCAATAAATCGCCAAGATATTGAACGCTAAAGTTCTCTAGATTTTTAGTTGTTTTTCTTATTAGAGACTAATTATTAGCTATATAATAAGAAGTTTTATTGTCGATCACGTGATAATCTAGAATCAATCGGATAAGGCGTTGTATAGAATAATTTTAATGAGGTATAATTATAATATTTATGAAATTAAATAGACAGGCCTTCATTGAAGGGAGTATAGTTCAGAAAAAAGTTAACGTCGAGGTCTCTTGTACATGTTATTAAGACATGTACCTAGCCAGAAAATATGGAAATTAAATAAGCTCTGAATTTGTTTATTTTATTTTTTTATTGCTATTTTTTCCATTTTCGTCCGTCGGCGTTCGTCGTGCATTAACATTTGAACATTTTTAACTTCTTCTCTGAAACCGCTCAACCAATTTCAACCAATTTTGGCAGAAACCATCCATGTGTGAATGGGGACAATAATTGTGAATTTCATGGTCCCTCATCTTCTCATCTGCTCCTGGGCATTAAATAAACTAACCAAGTACATAGTTATTAGACTGCCTCTTCAAAAATTGTGAATTTCATGGCACCAGGGTCAGGGGTTCTGGTGATAGGGAGGGGGGGGGGGGGGGCTCTGTTGATTATGTATTGAAAAAGCATAAATTCTTTTAATATATTCTTCTCAGCTCCTGGGTATTAAATAAACTAACCAAGTGCATAGTTATGTTGAATAAGGCTGCTTCTTCAAAATTTGAGAATTTCATGGTCCAATGGTCAGGGATTCTAGGTTGGGCTATATAGATAATACAGTGAAAATGAATTATTTCTTTGAAATTCTTCTTCTCTGCTCCTGGGTATTAAATAAACTAACCAAGTACAAAGTTATGATGAGCAAGAACGTCTTTTCAAAATTTGTGAATTTCATGACCCTAGGATCAGGGGTTCTGGTGTTTGGGCGGGACTCTATTGATTATATAATGAAATTGAATAAATTCTTTGAAAATCTTCTTCTCCGCTCCTGGGTATTAAACTAACCAAGTACAAAATTATGATGAGGAAGGATGTTTCTTCCCAATTTGTGAATTTTATGACCCCTGGTTCAGGGTTCTGGTGTTAGGATGGGGCTCTCTATTGATTATAGTGGAATTGCATAAATACTTTAAAAAGTCTTCTCCTCTGCTTTTGGGTAATAAATTAATGAACTTTGCACATAGCTATGATGAGAAGGACGCTTCTTTCCAATTTGTGAATTTCAGGGGTTCTGGTGTTAGGGCGGGGCTCTTATGATTATAAAGTGAAAATGCATGAATTCTTTGAAAATCTTTTCTTTTGCTCCTAGGTAATTTGCCAATGATCTAAGTATATATTAATGATGAAGATAGGTACCTCTTCCAAAATAGTTAATTTCAGGGCCCCTGGGTCAGGAGTACCGGGGGGCTTCTTAGTCTGAAAATAAATTAATGCTTTGAAATCTGCTCTTTGGTATTAATCAACCATTTTTTGATGACATAAATTTTATGATGAAATATCCAATTTTTTTGAAATACGTATGTGGCCCAAGAATCAGTGGTTCCTGTGGGATGGGGTGCATAACTGATGGTTACAAAGTGGAAATGTATTTTCCTTTATAATTATGATAAACAATTGGGCTCCTTTCAAAATTGTGAATTTCATGGCTTTTGGTTTAAAACACGAACCAAATTCAATAGTTGGAAAGTTGTTACATGATACTCAGGTGACCTTTAAGGCCCATGGGCCTCTTGTTTAATTTCAAAACATTTTGTAAGATTTATTTGGGAAATTCAAAGGAAAATCTCATTCAATACCATTAAACCATTGCATGCACACGTATGAAAAAGAAATAGCATTTTATGTAGTGTTCAAGTTTATTTTAACGTCTACCAAGGTTATAAGGGACCACTCACCTCGAACTTATACAATGTACGATACCGCTGGCATTTGCGTCGGTGCTTCGGTTGAAATTTCAGAAGCAGGTCCATTCCCAGGTTACTACAGTGACTGCAACATTTTTATTGACAACTTTAACACACGATCACATTACACGAACGGTATATTTGAAATATATCGTATAACATATACCAAGGAAATCTATTTGATAATTAGAAACTAACCATGTCAAGAAATTTATACGTACTAATGTACATGTATTATTAGGGCCCTGCAAGGATTTTCGCGTGTCCTATAGTAATCACTCTGTCTGTCAACATAAAAAATGTATATAATTATATGTTTTGGGGGATATTCAGGAATTTTCTTGAAATTTTAAGAATACAGTTGCTGTTGCGTATTTTTCATAATTTTTTTAATCATTCCGTCAGCTGCATCCTTATAATTCTACCCCATGGCGGGGCCCTTGCTGACTGTTCAGTTTTCTAGTTTTATTATAAATTCGCGTTTTCGATTCAGTGATTTGTAGGGAAGACAAATTATACATATATACCGGGTATATTCAAATATTTGAACCTATTTTCAAATGAAATCAATATTGGGACTGTTTAATTAAAATGTAGATTTATATGAATTAAATTAAACTAAATATTTTAAAGATTGGATAAATAATTAAACCTATATTTAAAAAAGATAATATTCAAATGTTAAACTGTGTGTTTAATTTCATTATTTTAGATGTTATTAAGTTCAGTTGTAGTACAGTGAAATACATGGAAATAACGAAAAGTATTCAAGCTCAAAAATCTACCTAACAATACAAAATAGGAGCAGAGCAAACACTGACTTCCAAAATATAAGAGGTGGGATCAGGTACCATTGAGGAGTGAGAGTATCCCAAGCCGACCGGTCACACCCGGAACGTGCTTCTTGTCATGATCGGGAAATAGAGGAAAAATCCGTTTGCAATTTAGGGTGTTTATAATGCCCTAAAATTAGTATGAAAAACGTCAGTCTGCATTTGACTTAATGATAAATTGTATTTGCGTACTAGGTCATTGTATCGACCATAGATTGATTGATTGTATATTGTTTAACGTCCCTCTCGAGAATTTTTCACTCATATGGAGACGCCACCACTTGCCGATGGAAAGCTGCAAATTCTGTCATATGATTGACCATCTTCTCTGTTCCTGGGTATTAAATAAACTAACTAAGAACATAGTTATGGTGAGGATGACTGCCTTTCAGAAATTTTTAATTTCATGGCCCCTGGGTGAGAGGTCAGATGTAAGGGCGGGGCTCTATTGATTATATAGTGAAAATACATTAATTCTAAAAAAAAAAATCTTCTCCTCTGCTCCTGGGTATCAAGCCAAAGAACTATGTACATAGTTATGATAAAGAAGGATACCTCTTCCAAGATTGTAAACTTCGAGACCCCTGGAACAGGGTTCCGGTGTTAGGGGGTGATTCTAATAATTATATAGTGAAAATGCATTAATTCCTTGAAAATATTCTCCTCTGCTCCTGGGTATTAAACCAATGAAATATCTACATCGTTATGATATGGAAGGGTGCTTCTTCAAAAATTCTAAATTTCAAATTCAAGGTCCCTGGGTCAGGTGTTCTGGTGTTAGGGGGTGGCTCTAATTAAAAAATAGTGAAAATGCATAAATTCTTTGAAAATTTTCTCTGCTCCTTGGTATTTTGCGAATGATCTAAGTACATAGTTATGATGAGGAACGTTGCTTCTTCCAAAATTGTCAATTTGATGGCCCCTGGATCAGGGGTACCGAGTGGAGGGGGTAGTCTATTTAATAATTATGTACTGAAAATTGAAATTTAATTAATGCTTTTAAAATCTGCTCTTTGGTATTAATCAAAGATTTATGAGCAAAGGTACCTTTTCCAAAAGCGTAAAATGTGTGG